TGTGTGTGTGTGTGTGTGTGTGTGTGTGTGTGTGTGTGTGTGTGTGTATGTGTGTGTGACTATGTGTGTGTATGTGTGTGTGTGTGTGCGTGTGTGTGTGTGTGTGTGTGATAGACATATTGTCTCACCCACAGCAGAGAATCAGTCAACATTAATTAAGTGCCTACTATGTGCTGGGCAGTGTGCAAGGACAAGGGATTTTTTTTTGTATTTTTTTCTTTATCTTTTTAAATTTTTAACATGTGTTTTTAAAACTTTGGGTTACAAATTTTCTCCCTTCCTCCCTCCCCACCCACCCTCATTGAAAAGGCAAGCAACTTGATACAGGTTATAGATGTGTAGTCATGCAAAACACTTCCATAGTAGTCCTGTTGTGAGAAACTAAGTATATTTCCCTTCATCCTATCCTACCCCCCATTTATTCTATTCTCTCTTTTGACCCTGTCCCTCCACAGAAGTGTTTGCTTCTGATTATCCTCTCCCCCAATCTGCCCTCCCCTCTATCGACCCTCTGCTCTCTTTTCCCCTTCCCCCCTTATTTTCCTGCAGAGTAAGATAGATTTCCATACCCCAGTGTGTATGTTATTCCCTCCTTAAGCCAAATCCTATGAGAATAAGATTCACTCATTCCCTCTCACCTTCCCCCATTTCCCCTCCACTGTAAAAGCCTTTTCTTGTCTGTTTCATGTGAGATAATTTACCCCATTCTACTTCTCCCTTTCTCCTTCTCCCAGTATAATCCTCTTTCACCCCTTAATTTTATTTTCCAGATATCACCCCTTCCTCTTCGACTCACCCTGTGCCCTCTATCTACATATATATGTATATATATATACATATATACATATACATACACATAATTTTTTTCCCTCCCACTACACTAATACTGACAAAGGACTCATGAGTTACAAATATCATCTTTCCTTGCAGGAATGTAAACAGTTCAACCTTAATAAGTCTCTTATGATTTCTCTTTCCTGTTTACCTCTTCCATGTTTCACTTGAGTCTTGTATTTGAAGGTCAAATTTTCTATTCAGCTCTGATCTTTTTCACAGGAATGCTTGAAAGTCCCCTATTTCATTGAATGACCATTTTTTACCCTGAAGGATTATACTCAGTTTTGCTGGGAAGGTGATTCTTGGTTGTAGCCCTCAGGAATATCATACTCCAAGCCCTCCAGACCCTTAGTGTAGAAGCTGCTAAATCTTGTGTTATTCTGATCGTGTTCCCACAATACTTGAATTGTTTCTTTCTGGCTGCTTGCAATTTCTTCTCCTTGACCTGGGAATGAAATTTGGCTACAATATTCCTGGGAGACAAGGGATATTTAAAAGGCAGTAGACAGCCCCTGCCGTCAAGGAGCTTACAGTCTAATGGGGGAGACAAGGTGCAAAGCAAGCTCTCTACAGGACAACACTTGGTACCTGCACTTCTGGATACATCCCTTTTACAAAGACTCATTAAAAACGCACTCAGAGCTGGGGAGTTGGAGTAGAGGGCTTCAGGGGTCCTTCAGGCTTTTTCCTTTGAAATCAGGATTCCTGGAAGGTCATTGTCACATCGTGCTAGAGTAGGACCATCCCACCTCCTTTCTCTCTCTTGTTTCTGCACAGACAGGAGACTTTTCTGCATCTTCTAGCTCAGCTGGACAATGATCTTTAGCCAGACCCAGCGGATGCTATTCTACACAGATTGCCTCGTTTAGCTAGGGATGCTTCCTGTGAAAAGGGTGGGAGGGGCTGTGGTTGGTGAGTGTCCCAGAAGAATCTTGCGAGCAGGGTGTGTGGGTCTTCATGGAAAGAAAGGAAAGGAGGCCTGAGGACCAGTCCCTGGGATGACTGTGGGAGTAGGCATGACTAGCTGCTGGGGCCATGTACTGAGTGGGGGTGGGCACCAGCTTCTCCTCCATTCAAGCTAAGACAGAGCTGAATGGAAGGGAGGAACGTGGGCCTTGTAAAGGGCTGAAGAGGAGGTGCGCTCACCATCCTGTGATCAATATCATCAGACTTGGGTGGGGAAGGAAGAGGAGGGACAAGGCCTGGGATTCCTAGGGAGGGCTCCTCACATTGGAGTATCTCTGTATCATGTCTGTACTTATGTCTGTGCATCCGTCATGAGGAAAGGGAGCTAGCGCCAGGAGGGCTGCTAAAACATGGTCCTTGTGGGGCTTGGGAGGGGGTAGCGGTGGGAAGGCGGGGTTCCAGCCCGCAGGGAAGCCCCTCCCCACATCACTGGAATGGAAAGGCTGTCCTGGTGGTGGCTGCTGGTCCTGGAGCAGCGTGGGGGTCCGGGGCTCACTGTCTGCCCTCTGACTTCTGCCTTTCAGTGAAGTACGAAGAGCTGTTCTGTTTCTCCTTCAACCCCAAGCTGGATAAGGAAGAGCGTGAGCAAGGCTGGACGCTGGTGGATCTCCGTGAGGAGTACAAGCGCATGGGCACCCCCAACAGCTACTGGCACCTCAGTGATGTCAACAGAGACTACCGGGTGAGTGCGGCAGACTGGCCGGTGGGGCCATGCCCAGGCCCTGCCACTTAGAGGCCTGGAAGGCAAGATCCTAGAGACTGGGCATTCATGGGGCAAAGCTGTGGGCCAGCAGAGGCCAAGAGAGCTGGCTGGGGCACTTGTTGGCCAGCTCGCCAATCCCTGGGTGGTCAGTGTTGTCTTGCGCGTGGTAGGTGCTATAAAGAGGCTTATTCCCTCCCCTCCCCTCCCTCCCCTCCCCTCCCCTCCCCTCCGGCAGCTGATTTTCTACTTTTCTCTCAGGGAGGTGAATGATCTCTACCCTTTAAAAAGGGTAACTTGAAGATGTAGGGCTTAGTAGAGAAAAGAACGTGGCACTAGAACATGGCCAGGAAACAGACCTGGGCCTCCACTCCAGCTCTGCTTTGAGACCTTGGACAAAACTCACTCCCATTACCTGCCTACCCCACTTCCTCAGGCGTTCGGATCCAGTAGTCTCCAGGGTGCTTTTGGACTCTGGGATTCTGGGATGGAATCTTCCCTCCACGGCTTCTTCTGCTAACGGCCATGTCAAGTTTGCTTTAACTTTGATGGGAAGATGATTAGAAATGCTGTCCACCCCCAGAGAGAGAACCAAGGGCATCCGAGTATGGATCAAAGCATCATTTTTTCGCTTTCTCCATTTTTCTTGCTTTTTTGTGCAGCATGGCTAATAGGGAAATGTGTTTTGTGTGATTTCACATGTGTGATTGCTCTCACATTGCTTGTAGGTGGGGAAGGGAGAGAATTCAGAACTCACAATTTTAAAAATAAATGTTAAAAATAGATAAATAATACATTTTTTTTAAAGAATAAATTAAGTGGATAGAGCACCGGCCCTGGATTCAGGACAACCTGAATTCAAACCCAGCCTCAGACACAAAACACTTACTAGCTGTGTGACCCTGGGCAAGTCACTTAACTCCATTGCCTAGCCAAAAAAAAAAAAAGAAAGAAAGAAAAAAAAAGAAAAAAGATAAATTAAAAATAAAAACATAACTAGGAAGTTTCTGTAGACTCGGACCTAGAGAAGCCTGGTCCTCATTTTCTAGCATTTGTGCTGGGCTTCAGTACTGAAGGTAAACCTAGAAGCCAGTGTTCACAAGCATGGGGAGCGTGGGGGTTTTCTAGGAACTCATTTCTAGGAGGAGAATCCTAGAATCATCCACTGGGAAGGGACCTGAGAGTGTCTGACGCTTCTCACCGTAGTCCTTTTGGTGTTTCTAATCATGATAAATGCCTTATCAGATAAGAATATGTTTTCTCTAAAAGAAAGAGAATGTAGGGCATGTTTACAGGCCAGGAGGTATCTGGGTGGCTGGTGGGAGTAGCGTGGAGAGGTCTGGAAAAATAGGCCTTGAATGCCACCCTAAAGACTTTGAATTTCCTTCAGTATGCAGAAGGCAATTGGCAGGCTTTTGAGCAGAGGCGAGAGGTGCCTGGAGCCCCGAGTCAGGTTGCTCAGGCAGCCAGGAGGGAGTGAGAGCCAGGTGCCTGGTCTAGCCCTTTGTTCAATGATGTCTAAAATCAGTCCCTTTGGATGGGACCGACCAGGAGGAAGTTACTGGTGGGCAGCGCAGGCCCCTTCACTGGGTTTGCTCCTGTAGGCTTATTATTTCCCTTTCATTGCTTTTTGTTTTGCCTTTGGATCATGGTGGTACAGCCGTTCCCCAGCAGAGCCCTTCCTTGTGATGAGGAACACGGGGTGCCAAAGCAGGTGGGGCAGCTGCCCTTCTGAGGGGGATGCCTCATTCCTCAGCCATCGTCTCCTGCCTCTGCACCAGAAGGAGGGACGTGGGCCTCATTGGGCATCTTCTGGAGCCCAGATGGGTCCCCACGCTTCACTGGAGTTTGGCCATCCATAGTGTTGGCTTTCCCACGTCACTGGGATCATTGCTTTCCTGGTTCCACTTTCATAGAATCACAGAAGTCGACCTGGGAAGGGTCTTCAGAGGCCCTCTAATCCACCTCCAACCCAAAATAACCCCCCACTCTGACATCCCTGATGAGTGGTCATCTGGCCTGGGTGTGAAGACATCCAAGGAGAGGAGCCCAGCACTCCTTCAGGCAGCCCTCCTCATTCTTGGACAGCTCTCTGTTCCTGAGTGGGCCTCGTGGCCACCCCCCCCCCGCCCCGTTGCAGCTCCTGCTTCAGCCCTCTGGGGCCAAGCCAAAGAAGTCCCGTCCCTCCCTAATCTCACAGACCTTCCCTAACCGACCCCTAGCATGACCATACGAGGTTTCTCTTGTCTAGGAAAAACATCCCTGGTTTCCTGCACTATTCTCATGTGACCTGGCTTGAAGCCCACGGACTTTCTTTGATCTTTATCCATTCAGAAAATGTGTTTCTCGTGTTCCTCGGAATTCCTCATAGTCATCATTCCTGGAGACACAATAACATTCGTTTCCTGTATCCACCGCAGTCTGTCAACCATTCCTCAATGGATGGGCACAAACCCTCTTTCCAGCTTTTTCCTACCCTAGCAGATGCTGCAATAAACCTTCAGGTGTCTCTAGGAACTTTATTTCCCGCTCTTGACCTCTTTGGGATATGTGTTCAGGAGTAGGAGGGAGGTGGCTCAGTAGATAGATAGAACATTGGATTTGCAGTTAGGAAGACCCGTGTTCAAATCTGGCCTCAGGCCCTTACTCACTGGGTGACCCTGGGCAAGTCTTTTAACCTCTGTCAGCCTCAGTTTTCTCATCTATAAAATGGGAATAATAATGACACCTACCTCAGAGGGTTGTTGTAAGGATCAAATGAAATAAGGCACGTGAAGTGCTCAGTAAACCTGCAAGCACCATATTTGTTGTTGTTGTTCAGTCATTCCAGTCGTGTCCAACTCTTGCAAAGATACTTGACATTTTCTTCTCTAGTTCATTTTACAGATGAGGAAACTGAGGCAAGCAGGGTTAAGTGACTTGCCCAGGGTCACACAGCTAGTAAGTGCCTGAGGCCAGATTTACACTCAAGTCATCTTGACCAGATCTGGGGCAGCTACAAAGAATTAATAAATGATGATGATGATGATGATGATGATGATGATGATGATGCCTCCTGCATATTGAAGTTGTGGTCCACTAAAACTCTCAGATTTTTTCAGATGAATTGATGTATAGCCAGCCTTCTTTCTTCTAATACTTCTGAAGTCATTTTTTTCAGACCAAAGTTTGACTATACATTTTTCCTGTCTCAGCTTCATCTCATTAGCTCAGTGGCCTAATCTGCCAAGACCTTGTCAAAAACTGCCTCTGATTCAGCTAATTTAACAAGCATGTTTGTATCTAAGACAATGATGAAAAAATTAAAGTAAGACACTCACTAGCTATGTGACCTTGGGCAAGTCACTTAACTCCAATTGCCTTGTCAAAAAAAAAAAGCAAAAAAAAAGTTAAAATAAGTAAGTAAAAGGTCAGTCCTGGATCACTAAGGCACTCCACAGGAGACCTCCTTCCAAGTTCACATTGGGTTGCTTTTGCCTGCATTGGGAGTCGGGCCCTTCGCTGCTTTCAGATTCAGCTAGTTGTACTATCATCTTGCCCATATCTCTAGATCCATATTTACCCAAAGATGGTGTGCAGACTATGTCAGAGGCTCTGCTGATATCTAGCTGTAGGAAGCAACATTCCCTCTGATCTGCCCACATAGAAACTCTGTCAGAAAAAGGAAACAATGTTATTCTGGCTCTGGCGGGCTGTTTGTGATCACTGCTTCCTTTTCTACATATTCATAGACCATCCTTTTAATAATGTATACTTGAGTTTTGCCAGGAATGAAAGTCAAGCTCACTAAACTGTATTTTGTAACCTTTATTCTGCATCCTTTTTTAAAAATCAAGAGAAAATTTGCCCTTCTCTAGCCCTATGTCATTCTTTCTTTCTCCACTATCTTTCCAAATCTGTCTGGCTTAACAGTTGCATCCTCTGGTCCTTCCAGTTTTCTGAGATGTGGTACCCCTGGGCTTGATAACCTCAGCTCTCTCCCTGCATACCTTGGGTTTCAACCACTTCTGTTCTGCCCTTTCCAGGCCAAAGATCCTTTTCCTTGGCAGAGAAAACAAGCAAAAAGACAAAGAGAATTGACCAGCTCCCCCATCTCTTCTCCTCTGATGGCATCCCCTTCACATTGAGTGGATCCTGCCCTTTCTTTCATCCCCCTCTTTTCTCTACTGAAGCTTAAAATATCTCACAGTCTTTTGGTTATTCTAGTTTCCTCCCAAATGGGACTGTGCCAGCGTCAGCTCATACCAGCACCGAAGAGCCGATTGTTAAATGTTTGGAGTGAGCATTTCCACCTCAGAAATTGGCAGACCCTACAAACCAGGGCTTGATTGTTTCATTGATTATCTAGACTTAAGAAGGTGATGGACACAGTGTTAATCACGCAAATGAAACCTAAAAATATGCCATGTGCACGTCCCCCCTACCCCCAGAGAGCCAGTTCTTAAACATTTAACAACATACTCCTGCTCTCAGGACCCTGCTAATTCTTCACTTTTGTGTCCTTGACTATTCATGCAGGACCAGGCTGTGCTTTTGCAGGCATGTTCTGGTACTACCTTTGTTTTCATCTTCTATGCATTTCTTTGAAAAATCAAAGTTGCAATAAGTCAGGGTTCAATAAATTACTTGTGGAAGAATTTCCTTTTTGACAAGAACTTTGGGAAAGGAAAATGCATTTTCTGTCACAATAAGCTCAAAATGGACTTTAGACTCAAGTATTAAAGGTGAGACCATCAGAAAATGTAGAAGACAACCAGCCCAGCTGCCTTCCACAGCTGCAGGTAAACAGGGATCTCTCAAAAAGGGATAGAAACAATCACAGAGATTTAATAGCTAACTTTGATTACTTGGAATTGCAAAGTTTTTGTGCAATTAGGATAAAAAGGGAACCTGTCACTTGAGGGGGAAAAATCTTTGCCTCAAATATCTTTGATAAGGGTCTGCTATCCAAGACATAGAGAGGACCAACCCAAATATATAAGATCAAGAGCCATTCCAGAATGAACACACAGACAAAGATTATGAACAAAGAGTTCTCCAAAGGAGGTTGACAAACTATGAATGACTGGATGAAAGATGCCCCAAATTTTTAACGTTATGAGGAATGCAAATCAGAGCAATTTGGAGGTTTTACCTCACACCCAGCAACTTGGCAAAGATGACAAAGCTGGGAATGATCAGTGCTGGAGCTACATAGAGGTACTCTATGATGGAGCCATGAATTGGCCCAGTCATTCTGGAAAGCATTTCAGAACTATATTAAGAAAGGAGCTAAACCATCTAGATCCTTTGCCCCCAATATCTTCTGGCTAAGTATGTGCCCCAGAGAGGTCAAAGATAAAAATAAAGACCCCCTATACACCAGTGTTTATAAGAGCATCTTTTCTAATCACAAATAGATGCCCATTGCTTGGGGAATGGCTAAGACATTCTGGTGTATGCCTGCTATGGAATATTGCCGCGCTCTGAAAATGATGAATAAAAAATTCAGAGAAGCATTGAAGCCTTAAAGGAATGTCTGCAAAGAATGAGGAAAATAACGCGGAGAACGGTGACAATATAAATGGGAAGGCCAGCAACCCCCAAATCACAGCTGAACATGATGTGATTAGAATAGCCCAGCTTGGCTCTGCAGGAGAAACCCGAGCACCATCTCCCTTCCTTCTTGGCAGAGCTGGGTGACTGTGGGGAAAGAACACTTTGTACAAACTGGTTGATGATTTGGTTCCTTTTGATTGCTGTTTCTTTTTTTAAATAAGAGATAGCTCTTTGAGAAGGGGTGGGGGAGTATGTTGGGAAGCGTCGTTGATATCAAAACTAAAGGTATTAATAAAATTTTCAAACTCAAAGCTGGTCGTGAATTTCTTGTACGTCCACCCTGGCCGATTTAGACAAGTCCTCCTTCCTCGTTTGCTGGATGGCTTCTCATGGTGTATTCATCTCGTTCTTGAGAAGGTTCCCATTCCTCCCATTAGCCCCAGGGGCCAGGGTCCCTTCAGAATGTTAGACCTCACAGTCCTACCTCTCCTTCCTCTGAACTCTTGGAAATCCAAGGTGTGTGTCAGATTCCACTCCTCTGGTGACAAACTCGAGAATAAAGGAGTCAATTCTCGGAAGATACTAGCTCACTGTTGGTCCCTCCCACTTTTGAAGGAGTAAATTCTCCCGAAGACAATCGAGCCTTCTTAGCTGCCCTGCTCTTAGCTGCGAGGGGGGCTCCAGTTCTATGGAGCTGTGATGCGTTTGGTCCTGGGGCAGTGGAGAAGAATGAGCACCGGCTCCTGGTCCCCAAAAGCTCACAGTGAAGTGAGAGGGGACACGGTACCCACAGCCCTAAACTGGAAGTCTGAGGGAGCATGGCCGGTCCTCACACCACAGACACTCAGACACCCCCTGGGCTGGGCTGGACCCCAGGCCGCAGCATCCTGGGCCACCTGCCCAAGCTTGCCTTGCCTGTCCTGGCCTAGCCTTTGAGAGAGAGCCAGGGCCCCTCCACTCCAAGGTGAGGCAGCCAAGGAGGCTCCTTCTAAAAGAATCCATCATCTGCTGCTATCCCTTCTCTGGGGACAGACAAGGGGCCGCCTCACCACTGGTTTTCTCTTTGTGTGACCTCCCTGAGTCTCAGTTTCCTCACCCGTCAAATGAATGGCTTGGGCTAGCTGACCTCTGCGGTCCTGTCCAGTTCTAAGAGCCAGAAATCCCCAGGTGAAGAAGATGCCTGGTAGTGATATGTGCTATGGGATCCTCTCCTACACTCGTCTGGAGCCCAGTGATGAAGGTCCACTGGTCAGGGCTGCGCTCTCTCCCTTTCCCTCCCCTCCCTTCCTCCCTCACCCCACCCCACCCCACCCCCACGCTCCCCTTGAACTCACAACTTCGAAATCCCGCACACCCGGTACTTGGGTCTCAATGCGTAGATATTCCAGTGGAATTTCTAAAGCTACCCTTGTATTCTGTTGGACAGGTGTGTGACTCGTATCCCACTGACGTCTATGTCCCCAGGTCCGCCACCGCGCACATCATCGTGGGCAGCTCCAAGTTCCGAAGCCGCCGCCGGTTCCCTGCCTTGTGTTATTACTGTAAAGATACCAACGTGAGTCTTGAGTTCCAGGCTCTCTGCTTGGTCTGCCCTGGCCCGGGTCTCTCTGTCGTCCCTGTTGGGGGTGGGCTCAGAAATGGGCTCTGTCCTTCTGATCAGTGCTGTGCAGCCCTGCTCTGGCACAGGACGCCGGCCCTGCCGGCATGGGTGTGCATCCTGGTGCCTTGTAGCCCAGCTGTGACAATGAGCCTCTCCACACACCCATAGTCACTGGGCCCAGATGAGAGCCTTGCGAGCTGTGGTCTTCATTCATGGGCCCCTTGGGAGACCACGAGCATGTCCCCAGAGTGGGGCTCCCACTCTGGAGCCTCCCTTGGAGCCCGGAGAAGCAGCGTGTTCTTGGGACAGTGTCAGGGTGACCAGTGTGGGGTCTGTGGAGGGTGAGTCTAATTGATGGAATCGCCCAGAAAGTTTCAGAGCCCCATGGGGTCAGTTCAGGGGAAGGAGCAGCACCCAGCTCCAAGCCTGGAGACCTGGGCTCGAGGGCTGGTCCTGCCACTCCCGTGTGTCCCTGGACAAGTCCTTTGGCTCAGCTTTTCTCTAAAATGCACTTGGCACAGTGCCTGGCACAGAGTAAGTGTTGAATGAAGGCTTGCTGACTGTTTGAAAAAATTGAACACCCTCTAGAATCCTTGGACAGGCCATCATTGCATGGTAAGCCACCGTAAAGTAACGAGATGGAGTCAGAGGAGGCGTGTAAGCTCGCTTCCGTGGCACTCCAGCCAAGGAATCCAGAAACGTTTTCAAGGATGGCCGTGACTGGTCACTCAGAAGGAGTGCACCCACTCCTCTGGATAGGCATTTGCTTTTAAAGAGCTGGCCTCAGTCTTTGGTAGTCTCACCCACCCAGACCTGTGGAGGGCCTTTCTACTCTGGGCAGACGTGTTTCTCGTCGGCCACACAGCTCCGGGCACCAGAGGAGGGAATGATTTACCTACAGTCGTCCAGCTGAGCCCAGGCTGAGCCTGGGCATGAACTGTGAGTGCCCTGGCTCATAGCCCATCTGCTGCCGTGAAGGTTCTTCTGACGCTTGTGAGGGGTAGCTCAGGCACTCACTGTGCATGTGGCCCATGTGGTGCCCAGAGGCCCTGGGGCTGTGGCCAGCCTCTTGAGGAGGGTTTCTGTTTCCTCCCCCAGGCCTCCATCTGCCGGAGCAGCCAGCCCTTGTCTGGCTTCAGTGCCCGCTGTCTTGAGGATGAGCAGATGCTGCAGGCCATCCGGAGAGCCAACCCTGGCAGTGACTTCATGTACGTTGTGGACACGCGGCCAAAGGTGAGGCAGGGACCCAAGGTAGGACAGTGACTGCACCTCGGGGGGAGGGGGGTCCTTGGGCCTGGGTGGTCCAGCCCCAGGAGGATGCTGGTAGTTGTGCTCCTTCAGCTCTTCTGTGACTTCCTAAATGTGGCCAAAGCTGCCCGCCGAGGGCAGCGCTCCACTCTGGAGGGAGCTGCCATCACCAGCTGCTGCAGCCAGAGCAAGACATTGCCCTTTGATCTACAGTCTATGTGAGGCAGCAGGGCTCAGGGCCAGGGTCCAAACCCTGCTTCTCACCTTTATTACCAGGGACAAGTCCCTATCTCTCCCTGGGCCTCAGTTTCCTCCTTTGTAAAATGAGGGGATTGGACAGGATGGCTGGTGAGGGCCCTTCCAGCTTCCCACCATGGTTCCTAGGACCCTCCAATGTTGAACCTGACGCTCCACCCAGGAGTACTTGGAAGCAGAATCAGCCTCACAGACTCACTGGGTGCAGAACGTGCTCAAGTCAGTAAAGGGGAGTCATCATTCAGCTGGTGGGCAACGTCTGACTGGTGGCCACAGGCTCAGTGATGTCGACTCTGAGCCCTTCTTTGTAACACCGGCACCGGGCATAGCTCTCTGCACACAGCAGGCGCAAAATACGTGTTTGTTTGTCTTGAAGAGCCCAGTGGATGGAGGGAGGGATGGATGGATGGAGAGAGGGATGGATGGATGGATGGATGGATGGGTGGATGGATGGATGGCTGGCTGG